CCACACACTGACCTTGTGCAACAAGAAAAGGCTCCCTACAGAAAAGTCAGCCTGAGAAAAGGGTCAAGACCTGGGAAGAGCCCAGGAAAACAGACAAACCCAATGGAAATCAAGGATCCCTCATTATTTCAATCATCACAAAAGATAATCACGACTATGATATCACCAGCTAAATGCATAGAAGATACAGGTCCCAGAGCATGTTTTTAACTAGGATCTAAAAGGGAAAGTCTATGAGGATGTGAAATATTAATTTGTTGAAATTATATGTTGTTGCTGTTGTGTGCCTTCAAGCCGTTTTCAACATAGGGCAATCCTAAGGTGAACCTATCACAGGGTTTTCTGTGTGTGACTCGCCAAGGTTACCCAGTAGGTTTCCATGCCAAGTGGAGAACTGAACTTGTAGTCCAATGTCAAACCATTATGCCACAGTGGCTCTGAGTGAGATGCCTCCAATTTTTCTTGGAGGAAATGAAAGATATCTTGATCTTTTCCACAGCCATTATAATGCACCTCTGTCGCTCAATTTCTATATATTTCTAAGGAAGGAATTGGCAAACCACCTCTAAGTATTCCTTCCCTAAGAAAACCCTATGAAATTAATGGGGCTTTCATAACTTGACAGGAGACTTGAAAGCACAGACACAGACACAGACACAGACACAGACACATGAAGCTCACATCAAGTCTGCTTAACAAATCCTGAGATTCTTGTATTGCGCATAGCACAAATGTCAATTAAACTAATGTAATTACTATGTATCTTGAAATTTAATGAATTGCTAAGGAAATTCACTTATGTAATATTTTATTTTACTGGAAATGAGAGTCATTAAGAAGGGATGTATTTAATTTTTTTAGCTGGAATTAAATTTGTAAATTAAACAGCTATTTTACAGGAAGGAATGAGGCTGAGAAACATGAGCTTTATACTGAAATATTTAACACCTGTTACGTACTTTTATGTGCTGGAGGAAATGTTCACAGCAGGATGCTTAGCTTCAATATTAATTCAGTTTTACAGCTGTTATATTTTATCTGAGAATGTTTATGATTAAAAGGACCCATGGATAAGATGGGGTGGGAAAAGGGATACTTGTTTATTGTACAGTTAACCAAAATTATTGTGAATCCCCGTACACTGGAAAAATCTTAGAAATGTGTACCAAAACAATGCAATGGCAGGGCTGTCACTGTTGACATTGTCAGAGCCTCTTATACTGCAGATAAGGGCAATGTAGCAAGGCTAAAGCACATACAAATCTTCAGCGAAGAAGAACTTTCTGAGAGGTTGTTACAAACTCAAGACAATATCTTGAGCCAACTTTTGCTTTTTAAAAATAATCCCAAACAATCTTGCAACATATTAAGAAGCATGATGGCGCTAAAAGACCCAACACCTGTAGATGTATTGTCTTATGTTACATTAAAAAAACCACAATCTCCTCTTAATCCAGGGGCTAGGGGGTTATTTGTGGACTTCCAGATGTTGTCAGGCTACCATTCCCATCAACCCTACCACAACAGAGGCATTAGTGAAGGATGATGGGAACTGCAGGCCCACAACATCTGAAAGCTCACTTATTACATGCATCTTTGAAAAGGGAAAGGAAAACGTCTTATGGCAACACCTTTCAAACTGCTATTCTAAGCCTTACTGAATTAATTTAAGCTAGAAGTTTTGAAAACCCCAGTCTTGACAGGGCTTTGCAAAATGCATTTCTCCTGTACTGTGGCCTCAGGCTCCAAGCATTAGTAACAGAAACAGAACACCAGCTGACTTTGTACCCAGCAGGTGTGTTTTAATGGGGGGGATCATAAGACTTTTCATTATTGATGCCATTCAGTTTTGTATCCCATCCCATAACTACACTCAAACAGTGTTTGACTGGATAAATATTGTGATAGCCTTGCTTCACACAGACATAATGGCAGGATACAAAACTTCAGTCATTCAGCACTTCCAGTCCTTCAAATCTGTACTTCTCTCTTCTCCACCATCTTCAAAATAAATGAACAGTTCAGAATGACAGCATTAATCCTTGCTGCAAACAGCAAGGGAAATTTGACATGACTGCTCTTTTGTTTGTTTGTGTTTGGAGACACTGGTTATGACTGTGAAGTGGTTAAGTGGATTAGTTTTTAGCTGCAGCAGGTTGGACTATGATCCTTATTTTTCTCTGAGTAGCAAGCTCATCCACCCTCGACCCAGTCACAAAAATCCTTGTGGAGCTAACAGTCCATTTCTAAAGTAATGGTGGTGGGACCTCTATTTGAAAATGTAAATTTAAAGCCAGCTTTGGTGGATGGAGCTAGTTTTCTCTGTGCCCTGGTATCAGGAGCTGCCATGGGTAGAACTAGCAACCCACAACTCTCAACACAATGAGACGCCTCACCAGGGCTAGAAGGAAAGCCTTTCCTCAGGCAGCCAAAGTTTTCCCTAATACTCATTGCATGCTGGCCAACAGGGAGGCTTATGAAGGGCTCCATTCAGGCTGGGACTTTGCCTGGGCAATGACAGGCCTTACTGAGACTGGTTCTCTGCAGAATGGTTTGGTTCACATCAAAACTCAGACTGGATTTACTGCTTCCTTGACATGGAAGCCACCAGTTGTCCCTATGCCTCTGGAAACCTACAATCCATTTTATTTTCAGATAATATGATAGTCCCAGAGTCTAAGGTTTCCCCTCGACAAGATTGTCTAGCTGTGTCCAACTGTAGGGGTCTAAGAGGGATACAGAAATCCTCCTACATCTCTTTAGGTCACCCTAAGCCAGTGGTTCTCCACCTTTTCTTTGCCAGTGGCTCTCTTGATGCCCTTGCCATGGACCCCCAAGACTTAAAATTCAAAACTCAAAAGTGAATCCTATACTATACTTACTATACATCTTGACTTGGGTAGGCTTAGGTGACTTTTGTTCATGAGTGCTCCAGCACCAGTTCATGGTGCAGTTCAGCATTTCAGCAGTCTCAATGAAAGGAAGCTTTATCCAAAATTCCTGACTGGCTTCCTCCTCTTAAAGACAGTTAGGGTTGATCCTGATAATCCTTCATCTTTTACCATACAGTAGTTTCCTACTGAAAATGGGTATTACTAATCTGAAGTATATTTTTTTTAAAGCATCATGTATGGGATTAGTTTACAGCTAACTTATTTTGAAGCATGTTAAACTGATACATTATGATTTACAGCCATAGATTTAATTCACATACCAACCTGTTTTTTGGAAACAAAGGTTCTGTTGAAACCAGCATTAACCAAAATAAATAAATAAATAAATAATAAGATTCAAATGCAATAAATTGGAATATTTTAAAAGAAACTCCCCAGTGGCTATCTTAAATTAAGAATGGTCAGCAGAACCAGAAGAGATTAAGTTCTCAGCAACAGAAAAACCTGTCCCACAGGGATTCTAAAATTTTGATAGATGTGGATTGTTACACACACACCTGCTGGGATTCCTCAGAGTCACAAAATTAAATCCAGATTCTTCTCAATGTGGGACTTTTGGACCTGTCACATAAAACCCTTGCCATGTTATTGAATACAATGTATTATATAAACGTAACCAAACAACATTAGATAAATTTCCATGACTCAAGCAAACAACAATAATTCAAGACAGCATGGTAGCTGGGACAGAACCAGGACAAGGAAATCAAACCAAACTCGTTCCAGATTTTAACACACATTCCACCCCATATAATGCGCCACACCCTTTAAAATACACACACACACACACACAAAACGAGGCAATTTCCTCTATATTTTCTTTGGTGTGAGGTTAGGTGGGGAGATCTACAACTAGCCCTCTGTATCCACAGATTCTGCATCTATGGATTCAACCAACCACAGTTGAAATATATTCACAGACATAAAATTTCAAAAAGCAAATCTTGATTTTGGCATTTTATGCAAGGGATGCCTTTTTATTACACCGTTGTAAATAACGGGACTTAACAGCCATGGATTTTGGTCCCCACACGGGGTTCCTGGAACCGAATCCCAGCAGATAATGTGGGTCCACTATATATTTCTGTGCTGTTCTAGCAAAATTGTAAGATTCCTTGGGATTAGAGAAAGAACCTTCAGATTTTGAACCAAGATAGAAGTGACTTTCCAGGACCAGCTGTGTCTCCAAGAGTCTCATGGACTGCCAAATATGCCAAAAAAAAAAAAAAAAAAAAAAACAGGCAGAAAAAACTGGATGTGGATTTTTAAAACAGGATTTTTTTTTCATATTAATCACTGAAGAGGGGTCCAACAACCTATTTAAAAAGATAAACCCCCATTCTGGGAGGCTTCCAGAAGAGACTATTCTTTTTATTTTACTTTGCCAGAGAAAGAGTGGTGTGGGGAGCCTGGAGGGTTTGAGAGATTCAAAAAAAGCCTTGGAGAGCCACTTTGCTCACTCTTGCTTCCGATAATCAGGTTACTCCAGCTTCTGCTTGTTCTTAGCTGCATTAAGACCTTGTTGGTCCTCAGAAGAGGTGATAATCTCAGCAGATCAGATTTTGGGTACTAGAAACCATAGCCCAACATAAGCTTAAACTGCTCACTTCCAAAGAGAGTCTGCAAGTTGTTCATGCATCACATAGTAATATGATAGTTACGCTGAATGTTAATACTGAACTGGGATCATTTGTTCAAATACCAAGAAACAGTTATAAAAGACATGCTTAAATTGTGTGTTAGTACAGAATAATTGCCACATCACCAGCATTTCAATTTACTTTAAATAGTCTGCTTGGAAGACATCCCACCTTTTCAATCCCTCCCCCTACCACACAACAAATTCCTCCTTAATTACAACAAATAGCTATTCATTTTAACTAAATTGAAAACATTATTTTTATCGGGGGGGGGGTATTCACATTCCATTTTTATTGTGGATTCACAATTTAAAAAATTTACAAAGAAACTGTGAAATTCCCACCATCACATGGGCCTTTCACATGAACACTATCCAACATTACATATGTGAAAGCAGAGGGAGATGTCAGCATGGTGTAGTGGTTTGAGTGTTGGACAAGAGCTCCAGGAGACCAGGGTTCAAATCTCTGTTCAGTCACAGAAACTCACTGGATGACTTGGACAAGTCACCCTCTCACAGCCTCAGAGGAAGGCAAACTCTAGGACAGGATTGCTGTACGTTGGAGTTGACTTAAAAACACATAATGTCAACACAACAAGGGGGAGAGAGGTGTCTTTGTTTTTTATGGGAGAAGTCAGCTATAAGCATCTGCTGCTGCATCTGAGAAGCAGAAGGTTTCTGATCATACTGCCTGGAGCAAGCCTTTTCCACACTGAGACTTGTCTAATACAGAAATCCTGTGTTCAACCAGGATCCCGAAGCACACTCAAACTGTTAATTGGTTTAGGTTCCACAAAAGAAAGGCAAGAGAAATATACATTGTTAAATGACACTGGCAAGACCTATTTGGCCTGTAGTGTGTATTCTAAGCAAGGTAGACTTCAGACATTTGGGATTTAATTTGTACTTGACTATATTGTAGGCTGTATTCCCAAGGAAGACAATATCAAACCACATCTTGAGTACTTCTTGCCTTTTAAAATCCTATTAAATTAATGGGGTCACCATAAGTCGATAGGTGACTAGAAGACACAAGACAGATATAGTGTCTGTCATGTTCCAAGAAGTGGAGCTCTGAAAGATTGAAGTTCAACAAAGGAGGCACAAAAAGTGTTCCTTGGCCCTTCTGAATCAGGGCCCACTGCCTGAGTTCATTTATCCCAACCACATGATCCTCAGATATGCCACTGCTTGCTGATAACAAGACACCTCTAGTGGACAGGGAAATTATGGGGAGCAGTCCTTGGTTAGCTCTTCCAACCTTTACTACCCATAAAAAATCAATGCCTATAGAAGAAGGTTGCTGGCCCTCTTGCAGCCTGAGGGAGTAAAAGTTCCAGGAAAACTCTCCTGGCCTGATTATAAATCCCTGCCAGTTGCTCCAGGTCACTGTTGGGACAACCTCTTTGTAGGATAGTGGCAAGACTGCTCTCCATGGTTCTGAACGAAAGCCAAATCCCTGGATTGTATCAGCAGCAGTGGCTGTGGTCCTATGTCTGTTCTCTCCAGGGATTGCTGGTGTCACCTGCTAGAAGCAGATGATGGAGTATTGAATGGAGCAGGGCAATACCTCAAGAACACATAAACCTTCTCAAACTCATAATTCTTACCATGCAAATCAAGGGTGGAGATTGAAATGGACAGTGTTTGCCTAGTGAATTGGTGGTGAAAGCGAATTCTGAATTGAGGACCTCCTGCTTTGCCAGTGTAATCAGATATACACCTACTAATAACTAAGTCCTTCAACAGGACACCCTAGTAAAGTCCTGTGTAGGACTTTAAAACTATGATACACAACTTGCACATGAGGCACAATTACTTACGGTTGTAATCACTTTGGGAGACAGAGCAAACAGTTTCCTTTGAGCTATATGTATATTTACCATAGCAGCTAAGCATTACATACACACACGCACATGTACATTATGCTTCACTTGATCACTATAAGCATGACATCACAAGCAGAAAGCCAATGTTTCCAATGAGTTCAAAAGGCAGGGAATGGGAAAATCCCTAACTCTGAAGCATGGGACAGAAACAGACAAATATTGCCGCAATACTAAAAGCAACAAAAAGCATGTTTGTACTGATAGAAAATACTGTCTACAAATGAAAATGTTCATCGTAAAAAAGGCACACCTGGCAACAGCATCATTGCTGTTTTTAAGTGCCAGGCTATAACTTTTTATTTGCTCAGCCTTCTTAAATATTGCTGCTGATCCTTTTATTGTTGGCATGTTAAAATACAGGTCAGGAGCCAGTAGAACATGGTATTATTGATTTGATATCCTGCATTTCTCCCGAGTGGGACTCAAAGTGGCTTACAATATAAATGAACACTTTCCACTGGAAACATTCCCTTTCCTCCTGCAGCTGCCTGTGCACCCCCAAAAAACTGTCCTGGAGGGCTGGGAAACCATTTGAAGCAGGATTTTGGTGATCCAGAAGGATGTAAAGTGGGCAAGAAGGAAAGAAGTCCCAATCTGGACACCAAATTGGATCTTTGGGTCTTGGGCTTTGTGTGTTGTGTTTCAATGTGCATTGTAAATGGCAGTGGTTGTTGTTGTATTATTAACTACCACAGAATCACTTTTTGATGAAGGAGAGTATGAGAACTAAATGCAATCAAAGATGTGAGTACACTTTCCTTTTAACTTCCCATCTTCTTCATACCCAAGTGAGAAAATCTTTAGGAAGAAAAACAAACAAACCCTGAAACCTGCTTTCTACTGGCTCCATCTAGTGATTCTCAGCTCAGATTGTGAAGTTGCATAGATGGCCAAAGAATACCTGGTGAAGTAGGCTATATTTCAGAGGAAGGAACTAACAAAGCCAACCTTTCCTTGCCTAAGAAAAACCTGTGAAATTCATGAGGTCACCTAAGTCAACAGGTGACCTGAAGGGACACAGGTGGCCTGGGCCATCAACATCTCCCTATAAGGTAAGATGCTGGCTATTGTTTGATGCTTAAAACCTGTCCTGTGCTCTTATCTTATCTATTGATGTTTTTAAAAAGTCAAATACTTCTAACCCAGGGTGGTGGTGGGGACAAGCCTTCTCCTTTTCCTTCTTCTTCCCTGTTTATAATGTGAGCCCAGCATTTCCTGGCTTTGTCAAGATCAGAAGCAGAAATATTAGCTTTCCTGTTCCTCAAAGGAGATTCTTATACTTCCACCCACAATTGACGGCAGGAAGTCTCAGCACAGGGCCTGTTCTTTTAAGATTGCCATCGTTCTCCAAAAATAAAAAGGGAATTTGAGAGAGTTCCCCCCAATACTTCTAGGCTGGTTCCTCTCCGTCCACCACCATCCCCATTCCTATTTAAATCTGCCCTTTTATCAGCAGGATACTGATACAATGATGATAATAAAACCTGCAGCAAATATTTCTGCTTGAAAAACACACAAGCAATTGTAAGCAACACCTAGTATGACAATACCATGATAATACTATGCAAATGGACTCACCATATTATGCCTATTTTAGCATTAGGTAAACCAAAACACAGGTTCTAGTTGGCTTCTTTTTTCATTCAGAGATAGTGTTTGACATCATTGACTTTTTAAAAAATTTAATGAGACGGCATCCTTTTAATACAACATGCACATGACTGAGTTAATCTGCTCTCCTTAGCATAGGCATTCATACTCCTTCAATTACAAGGTGTTATTAGCATTGGAAGTCAGTTTAAGGCGTTTCCATCAACCATAGAAATTTGTAATGAGTATCCCATTAAGTTATGAGTGATTTCCTGTTTAATGTCTGTTGAAAAGGATTCTCAGAATTGTCCCTGATGGCTCATGTGCTTTGACTGAAATGACTAAGGGTGTATTTACACTACAGATGTAAGCTGATTTAGCACACATTCCCTCTCCCTCAGGGAATCCCTGGCATGTGAAGGGGATTAGGGGGTCTCTAAACAGAATACTCTGTTGCTTCAGCAAACTACAGGAAACTATGGTTCCTAGGAGTGACTGGGGGGAACCGTGACAGCTGAAATTCAAATGTTTTTACTCGTGCATTGCTCCTATATTTCGTATTTTAATATTCAAAAGATTGCCTTTGCCTTTTCGCGTCTTTATGAACTGTGGGATTTATGAAAGCATGACTATCTTGGAGCTTCCAATGAAGGAATGCAGATCTCCTTCTAGCTAAATTTGTGCAGTTAGTTGTAGCAACTGAGGATTGGTCAATAATGCTCACTACAGCAGCAGACTGTTGTCACATCAAAGAAAAGCACACTGTCTGGTAGTCTGAGCAATAATTATTCCACAATCCTCCCCATCCATAACAAACTGAATAGGATCTATAAGGAGCTTAATGTCATTACTGAATTATACAGCTCTTTCTGGGTCATAAAAGCAAAATGACATTACCAAAGGTGCATGGCTGCTGAATATAAATTATGGATACCTGCTTTCAGACAGAATTAAATCTCCTCACATTACCTAAGAATGTAAGAACTGCCTTGTTAGATCAACTAAACATCCTTCCAGGCTTGCAGTCTGTTGTCAACTACAGCTAGCTAGATGTTCCCAGAGGCTTACAACCATTATAAAACCGAGAACTAGGACTCAGATCTCCTGTTCAGGCATGAAATATACTGGGCCACATTAAGGTCAGTCAATTACTAACTACACTAACCAAAAGAAACCACAGTATAGTTCCTTGCTCTTCTCACTATATTATTGCAATAATCAACATTAAAATATATTCCAGAATAGAGTTTGAGCACATGGAAGATAACCATGTGCCACCCATCAACCACCCATCCAAGAGCATTTTTTTAAAAGAAAGAAAAAAGGATGAAGAATCCCAGCCGTTCTCCATACTGAAACTATTGCTGTCATTCCACTATCACTCCATCATGAGGATTATGTAACACAAAACACACATGTTCTCCATTTGGAATGCAATTATTTCCCTCCCTCCAAATTGAAAAAGTTGTCAGTGATCATTCAGTGATCTGAGGATTCTGCTTATGAACTGCTGGAGTTAAGAAACTGGAGTTATTCCAAATGGTAACTTATATTTTTGTAACATGCTAGTCTTCTGGATTTTAAGAGTGGAACTGGGTCCCTGTTTGGAAAAAATAAATACTACCTTTGTGTTTATCTGGATCCCATAATTGGTTGTACCCATTTTTACTTTAACCAAGGTCCCTCTCTTCTCAGTCCCCATGATGGAATTTTAAGCCCTACACACAGATATACTAATTATAGCAAATAATTATTTGAAGTCTGGAACCACTCACTTTCTTTGGCATATAATTATAAAAACCCCAGTATGCAAATATAAGGCTTTGTTCCTCACCAGCTTTTTAAAAATGCCGTTTAGTGGAGCTCTTTTATGTCAACCAAATGTCACATAATCCTTTGCCTCAAACCAAGCTGCACGATTTTCAAGACACTTCATGCAGTTTCATTAAGCAAGGAAGAGCAACGACCTGTCTCCCTTAAAGAGACTTAGAAAATACA